CTTCCTTCCTTCCTTCCTTCCTTCCTTCCTTCCTTCCTTCCTTCCTTGGCTGTTTTTCAACTCTTGCTGTGCAAATTCATCCAGTGTTTTAAACATCATTAATTTGATCTTCATAAGATATTCAAAGAGTAAGCAAGCAGCCTAAATAAATATTTGAGCGGAACTGAATTCCTAGAGTTGCTATGTTTAGTGCAAATTTTCCATGATCCTTTCTTTGGTGTGTAAATTTATACAGTGAACCTGCTATTTTTTTTTTTTTTTTAAAATGCAACTTACCCTGTAAAAATTTGCATGTTTTTTTCTCTCCTTCTGGGCTGTATCTCACAAATATATTTGTACAGATTTGGGGGCAGAGAAAGACACTAATGGACTGAGGAATCCTAATTATCCATCCCCATAGAAAACTATGGCTGATTTCTTTCATACTTTTAATTCTTCATGATACACAGGAACATACAAGAGAACAATTGAATAGGCACAAAGATCTGTGTGAAGGAACAAGGGGCACCAAAGACACAATGTGAACAAGTAGTCCTCGACTTATCATGGTTCGTTTAGTGACCATTCAAAGTCACTAAATGAAAAAAAGTGATTTATGACCGTTTTTCACCCTCAGGACCGTTACGGCATCCCCGTGGTCACATGACCAAAATCAGACGCTCGGCAACTGACTCATATTTATGGCGATTGCAGCATCCCGTCCCTATTTGAGACCCGCTGACAAGCAAAGTCAATGGGGAAGCCAGATTCACTTAACAACCAGCCTACTGATTCAACAACCACAGTGATTCCCTTAGCAACTCTCCCTCTATAACTCCGTCCCTCTCTCTGCTTCTCCCTCTCTCCCGCCTTCTCTTTCTCTGCCTCTTTCTTTCCCTCCCTCCCACTTCACCTCTCTTTCTCTTTTCTCTCTTTCCTCTTTCTCTGTCTCCCTCTTCCTCCTTCTCTCTTTCTTCTCCCTCTCTCCCTCTCTCCTTTTCACTCCCTCTTCTCCCCTCTCTCCCTCTCCCTCCCCCTTTCTCTCCTTTTATCTGTGTCTCTCTTCCTCCCTCTCTTCCTCCTTCCCTCCCTCTCTCCCTCTCTTTTTCCTCTCTCTCTCCCTTCGCACTTTCTCTCCTCTCTCGCTCTCCCTCATTCTCTCTCTTCCTTCTTCTCCGACTCTCTCGCTCTCCCTCTTTCTCTGACTCTCTTCCTCCTTTCTCTTTCTCTCTCTCCACATCTCCCTTTTCTCTTCTCTCTCTCTCTCCCTCCCCTTTTCTCACTCTTCTTCCCTCTCTCCCTTTCCCTTCCCCTTTCTCCCCCTTTCTGTGTCTCTCTTCCTTGCTTTCTGTCTCTCCCCCATCTCTCTCACTTTTCTCTCTCTCTCTCCTCCTCCTCCTCTCTGTCTCTTTCTCTTTCTCTGTTTCTCTCTCTCTCTCCCTCTTCCCCCTTCCCTCCCTCTCCCCCTTCTTTCTCCCTCTGCTTCTACTTGTCTCTCTCCTCACCCCTTCCTCTCTCTTTCTCCCTCTTTTTTCCCCCCTCTTGAACCTAATATCTTTGGTCACGGAAAAGTTGGCAAAAGCCAAGGAGAGTTAAAACATTAGGATGTAAGAGAAACAAGAACATAAAGTTGACTCGCCTTTCTCTTAGCCCTCCAGAGTGGGCAAAGGGGCAACCAACTACACTGAAGAGGTAAATAAATACTTTGCTTTTGAAATGAACTGCATCTTTAAAGAGATGGAGGTGTGAAAGAAAAAACAAGTTTGGAAGAAGACTTCTCACAGGGCAGAGTTCACAGCTAGAGGTGAGGATATCGGCTTCCTGCTTGGATGTAAAAGGAAGAGGGGAAATTGACCCAGTCCCTCCTGCTGGTAGATGTTTCAAAGCAGGTTTGATGAAAATAAATTTTATAGGAGTTGAAAGGAAACCTTTGGGAGATTCTTGAGAGGGGTTAGCTCTCCAACTCAGAACAAGCAAAAGCTACATTGATTTGAAAAAAAATAATCCTGAAAAAAATCAGTATATTTATGGAACAATACTGTTACACGTCTTGGAAAAACTTTTTTCCCCTTTATATATCAAGAAGCAAAAGAATGAACAGGGTGGAAGAAACCCCAGAAAGAAAATATATTCTATTATATCCCTTACAAATATACATTTCAGATGAATTATTAAGTAGCTCATTAAACCTTGACCATGCAAAATAATAGCCATCAATCTTTCTCCTGCCATAGAGTGTCAGCTCATAAATGAAAAATGAACGTGTATCTATAATCTAACGTTGTAAATTCAGAATTACTCTACTTCTAATATTGAATAATTATCTTCTTGGCTGTTTGCCATGTATGAAACAAAGTTCCGCCTAGAATGATAAATTCCAAATTTGTGCCATGTCATTTAAATTTGATGGCATATAAGCCACCGTGATCTTTGTACTATCGTATTAGCAAACTTGCATATCTAACTAAAATGGAACACTGATTGAATAAAGACTGTATCATAACAAAATAGCAGAATTGGAAGGGACCTTGGAGGTCTTCTAGTCCACCCCCTTGCTCAAGCAGAAGACCCTGTATCATTTCAGCAGTCCAATCTCTTGATGCAATAGCAATTCAGGGAGTCCTCTTCTTATGGGAGCCTGGCTATTCTATCATAAGTCTTGACCGTCCTAAATCATGTCATAAGTGAATACAGTGGTCATTAAGTAAATCCTATGGGTGTTGTTTGTTTGTTTTTTGCTGGAAACTCACCAGGAGCCTGTGAATTCCACACAGTTCCAAGAAGGCTCCGCACCCATTTGCACTACTCAGGTGACCCCAAGGACACAGACGAAGCTCCAAGTGGCCTCAAGGACTCTCTGAAAAGGATGCAAATGACCAGCCATCTGCAAGGAGTATAAATCCTTCCATTCCCCAACATCCAGTCAAAGCTGAAGAAGCTTCTTGGGTGAGAAACGAAACAACTTCCAAAAAAATACAAGAAAGTGAATCCTATGGGTGTTTTTTTTTGTTGTTGTTGTTGGAAACTGACCAGAAAGGCCACTAAACTGAGCCAATTTGATCTAGTGGTGAAGACACCAGGTTAGATACCAGGAGAGAGTGAGTTCTAGTCTTTGTTTATACATGGAAGTCAACTGGGTGACTTTGGGCCAATCACCATGAGACTATGAGTTGTAATCCCACCTTAGGTGTGAAAGCTGACTGGGTGGGCCAATCACCAGGAGCCTGTGAGTTCTAGTCACACCTTAGCCCTGAACGCCAGATGAATGATCCAGTCACTCTTCCAGTCCAACTCACCTCATACCGTTGTTATAGGAAAAATGGAAGGAGGAAGTAGTATTTGACTTGTTTACTGCCTTGAGTTGTTTATAAAACCAACAACATTAGTAATATTAAAGGCGAATAAAATAAGTGAAATAAAATAAATGAGAAAATTGAATTAGGAAGGAACGGGAACATTTTAATTAGTTAATGTTTTATAAAATATAAGTGAAGACAGGGGGGGGAATTAACTATGGAAAGCTTATAATTGTTCCCATAGAAGTGTGATATTTAATTGAAAAGTAATGTTAAAGATGTTAAGACTTTAATGAATATTAATATTAATGATATAATTGAATTGGAATGGAATGTTGTTTTAATTATATACATTTATATATTTTTCTTTTTTTAAGAATACAGTGTGTATTTTAAGAATGTACCAAGCAGAATCCGAATGGAAGTTATGTATTATATTGAATGTTACAACTTTAGGGAAAAGATATAAAGGCGTCATACTCCAGTCAGTAACTACAGGAGAAATTTTGTTTAATGAGAAAAGATAATAGATAATTGAAACAGGACAGACAAAAAATATAAATACAGTGATTTGAACTGAGATGAGATAATTAAAATAAAATTGAGAAAATTAAAAGCAGGGAGAAGCTATGCAGAAAATGTAAAATAGTAATAAGATATGGAATAGAATATAAAAATGAGCATGAACCTGAATTTGTGTCTGTACGAAGAAATGTAACCCGGGATTACGCTACTTTCAAAAAAGAAGTTTTATTTGTATTTTTTTTTATCTTTGTGAAAACTCAAATAAAATTTAATAATAATAATAATAATAATAATAATAATAATAATAATAATAATAATAATAATAATAATAATAATAAT